ATTTCAGCCGCCTAAGGTCCCAAAAACGACGCTCTGATACCAATTTGATAGGAAATACTTGCATTCACAAGTAACCTAACCAAAATCGGCGAACATTCAACAGCAAAACTGCTGTCCGCAGCAGAAAACAGCATAAATCTGCTGTTTACAGCAGAAAAAACAGCAAATTCCACAAGGAAATCTGAGAGAAAACTCAAAGAAAAGCTTGTATTCCACTCGTCGATGAATAAAATAGCAAAGATACAATTGATCCTCAATTCGAGAGGAGGATTGATCTCTCCCAAATCTCTAGACGCCGCTAGAGCCCAAAGAAACCTAAATCTAAGAGATCTCAAATTTCAGCCAAATTCAAGCCCAAACCATAGCAAAAATCAATTATTTAATGCATACAAATCAAAAGGAATTCCCTAAACATTCCCTACATTCAAATTTCTCTCTAAAACCCCCCAAAAAATCCTTCCTAAAACGCTCCGTTTGAGCTGTCGGCCAGCCCGATGTCCGCAGGAGGCGGAGATCACGCGACGTTTCGCGTCTGAGCCCGTCCCGTGCGGACCGGCTGGACCGGTCTAACAAAATGATATTTCTTTATTAGATTTAAATGAGAAGTTAACTCTTAACAAGACAAAATGGAGAAAAAGGATTCATGTAGTTGAACCCACATGGTGGGATAAAGACTTGATGTTGTTGTTGTTGTATGGATCAGCAAAAAAAAAGAGCACAAATGTGAGACTTGGATGCCATAGATTAAACAAGAACTAAAAAGACTGATTTCATTGTGCACCTCATGATTATATTATCAATCAGCATTGTCATACAAACATATTGACATCTCCACTTCAAACCTGATCTATAATCAGAGAAAAAACTCAATTTTTTTAAAGCTATCCTTTTCACACCTGAGTTTCAGTGGTCCACTTTTTTTTTTTCACAATCCAAATACTTAATTTTGCAACCAATCGATGAGATTAAAGTTCAAATGAGAAGAGATCTTTATATAGCTGTCAAAATGTTGTTAGCATTGGGTTTTATGTTTCCATAGCCACGCACACCTAAATATATATCTTTATGTAATTTGGAATTGAAATAGTTTTCTCATGTCAAATGCCAATCAAAAAGATATAATATTAAAAAGAAATGAATTGATAAATTATCATATTTAACAAACACATCTAAAGACAATATACATGTCAAAAATCCTAAAAATATTTCAAAAAAAACATATCATGAACTTTAAGCCATGCGCACTTAGCGCACATGCATAATTTCTCAACATAAGGGCAGCAAATGAAGGAAACATAATAGCTAGTAAACCAAATAAATATTACAGCGAGTTAGAAGAATCCATTTATGCAGTCTGTAAATATCAAAAAATAAGAATATCAGTTTGGAATAACATAATGCATGCAATGTTAGACAAAATTTTAGAAACCACATAAGCCATAATTGTTGGTTTTTAAGTATGGAAAAAGTCAGGTATTATAAATAAAACTTTCCGCACCGCTTCATCATCAATAGAATGGAGCAAAGGTTTCTGTTCAGCAGCATCTAAATCATTTGAGTGAAGCTTAGGTTCTATGACTGAGTTAACGGCCAACTGTCCAAAAGTGCAGGAAATGTTTTCCATAGTTTCAACCTGTAATATGAATATATTAAAAGTTAGCTACCCATTGTTTCTTTCAGCAGCTAAATAAATGTTTCCCAGCTTACATGATGGTCAATATGTATGGATTTGTTGTTCTCTTCGATCTGACCAATTGAACTGGATACTTCACAAGGAAGTTTTAAATCTGGGCCATTCACATGGATACGAGTCAATACTCAATAGGGCTACTAAAGCAAATTAATCAATTAATAGAATTTACTCAGCTATACTAAAATCAGCAAACATGCTGGACATTTTACCTTTATAAGGTTCATTGATTTTTGCAGCGGCTGCAGCCACATGTTCACCCACTTCTGGACTGACTTCCCTACTGACTGATATTAATTGTAATGATCACTAACAATGGAAGACCTCGAAAGAAAAACTTATTGGCTTTTGTCTAAAATAAATATGGTGTATTTTGAAGTCACCTTCATTACTAGCGTACTTTTTGAGAAGTTCTTCAAGTGGCAGATCTAATTCTGCCTGCAATGCAATCAATTCTTCCCTCCTTTCTGCCTCCGTAATTTGAGCCTCATCCTCCTCAATGGTATGTTCATCATCTACCTGAATCAAATCAACAAACAGTTGATTCTTAAGTTTCTTTTTATCTTAGGGTAAAAAATAGAAATAGTATAGCCACTACATATTACAATTGTAGGAAATTAACATGTGCGTTAGTTATGTAAAAGCCTGTGCCTGCACGCTGAAAGTTTTTACACAAGCCAATATATCTACATAGAAAAGGGAGGTGACTATAATCATTCTCTGGCGATAACCCTTTGAAAGAACGAAATAACATACATAGGATGATGAAAATAAAATAAGTGCATGCTATAACAAATAAAACCATCCCATGGTCTACCCTAAAATTGTATATGAAGAGTCACGACTCCATAGTTTCCATTTTATGGAAAAAAGATGTGTGTGAACACGAATATGAAACACAAATTATATTCCTAGATGCCCGAGAAAGAAAGTCATGGGCTCTAAGCAATAGCTGAGTAAAAGTATCATACTCAAAAGCCCAACCCTGTTTTCAAAACAAAAATTCGTATCTAAACTTTTAATCATTTAAATTTTAAAAATAAATTCTTAGGAACTCTTTGGATACATTTTTTTAGACAAATAGGGCAGAAAAAATTTCTGTCAAATATTCTTTCTCATATTTCTATCTTTATCATCAAAAATAGGTATTGCCAGCAAAAACGAGTTGTAAACATTGAATTAAAGTCAAATAAATCAATATTTACACAATATTTTAACAATCATCATATAGCAATAGAATTCAAATAATAAATTGCAAAGAAGTACAATTTACCAAATCATCTTCAGATTGAGCTATATAATCATCATCAACCTCCATAAGGTCTGACTTTGTTTCTGATCAACAAGCAGGAAATATAAAAATCATGTCCAGAACATTCAGAGATCACAAGAAAAACATATCACTGACCTCGACCAATTGGGCTACTTATAGTGCAATTTCTATCATCCTCCCCATCTACATGGGGTGATTTGAGATGCTCAGAGTCTACATTGATTGGTTTATGAGAACAAGGCGTAGCCACAAGATTTTCTGCGAGCATTGTGGAGTACCTGATTCAGATAAAAAAATAAAATAAAAGTACATAGAACATTACGTGTAGCCGGTTACAAAAACTGAACAGAGAAGACACTGCCCATATCAACTAATAAGGAAATCAAAGTTCAGTAAAAAAAAGTCGTACCTTTCCGTTTGACCTAAAAGAAAATCAAGTTGCTTGTCAAGAGCCTTCTTCTTTCTTTCCTCAGACTCCAATTGATACTTATAAAGCACCTAAAAGAGAAAACACATAAGCTAATATAGAAAGATGTAGATTTTCACAAAAAAAAAAAATCAAATCTAAGAAGATAATAACTTGCCAGCTTTTCTATTTTCATCCAGAATTTCTTCACGTCTTTAGAAATATTAAGTGCAATTTTTCTCATACGTTGCTCTTCTTCCTACATCAAACATTACAAAGAATACAAGTGAAGGTCATGAATTTTATGCATTAGCAATCAACTGGACTTGCTACATTGGGGTGAAATATCCAGCACATGGATGATCAAAGCACCTATAGATCACACAAAAAAACCCATGCCACCTTGACAATCATGTTGGAATGGTACAAAACAAACCTTGAGTTTCCTTTCACCCTTTGAGGCTTGGTCTAGGATGTTCTTGCTGGCTCTTAAGGCAACTTTCTTTGCTAGGGATAGTTTCCATTTCCTCTCTGATTCAAAATCCTGAAAGCAACCATCACTTAGGCAAAAAGCTTCATAATCTATAAGATAATATTATAATAATTATTTTCTTAAAAACTTCTCTCATCCGAGCAGCGATAATTAGTCAATAGCTTCAGACATAAATGAACGCCACCTTTGAAAGCCAAACCATCTCCTCTAAAACGTGATCCCAGTGTGCTTTAGATCGAGGCGGCTCCCTGGAGGCCTCAACAGCCTGCAAAGTTTGAAAGAGACGTCACACTGGAAAATATAAGTAATAATGCTGGAATATTATGTCATGTCCAGACACTGCTAACAGAACAATGTAATGCATTGAGCTCACTTACAAAGCTGCATAAATGTCAGGATATCTCATATAATTTAAAAAAAAAATGGCAAAACAACTTTGGAGGCTACCCATAACATCAAAATTGACAAAAGATAATTGATTGGATCATAATATCAAAACAAGTAAATTTCGGTTAGGTGAATGACAGAAAAGCAGCAACAACAACAACATTAAGCATTTATCCCACTACGTGGGGTCGGTTACATGAATTCTTTTTCACCATTATGTCCTGTTAAGAGTCAAATTTCAAACAAAGAAAGAAAATTAAATGCAACAACCCCACACTTACTTTCACACAAGGGATGTGAATGAAATCATTCTAGCATCAAATATATATATATATATATATATATATATATAAACTCATAAAAATTTGCTTGTCTGCTATTGAAAGAGAAATAAATTAGGAACGGAAATAGAAGATTTATTCCAATCCAACTGTCAAAAGATGATCTGACCCAAGTAATTGATTTGTCAGCTACTACTAACTTTGAACCTGAAGAGGCAATAAATCAAACTCCTCCTAGTAAATCATCATCATGTATGCATGTCCTTAATAACTTGATTATAAGTATTATTAACTCCTTTCTTTTTCTAAAATTCTCCAGAGCCCTTCTATTGGAACTTTATCATATGGTTTGTCTAAATCAATAGACATCATATGAAGACCCTCCTTACTCTTCTATATACTTCTCCATCAAATCTCTCAACAAATGTATAGCCTCCATAATAGACCTATTCAACATGAATCCAAGCTTATTTTGAGAAACATTAGTATCACGTCGTAACCTATGCTCAACTAATCTCCCATAATTTTAATGAATGACACAAACTTAATTCCTCTATAATTCACACACTCTTGTGCATCATTTTATTCTTCAAAATAAGAACCATCACACTGCTGCACTCATTTGACAACTTTTTAGTCTTCAAAAAAATATTATAAAGTTTAGTATGCCAAGAAATTCATTGATATCCTAAGCATTTCCACACCTCTATTGAAATATTATTATCTCGCTGCTTTTCACACTTCATTTTCTTTAAAATATCTCCAACTTTGATTTTACTAATACAACTACAACGATAAAAATAAAAATACATATTTTTATTTATTGTACTAAGGTTACTAAAGTAAATCGTATTATCACAATATTCATTGAAAAGCTTATCAAAATATTCTCACATGACTATGTTGAATGTCTTCTTTTAAGAAAAGCACCATTTGATCATCGTAACTAATGCAATTCACTTGAATTAGGTCCTGAGTTCTCCTATCTCTTTGCTTGACTAACTTATACATATATCTTTTGTCATCTTTAGTATTTAATTTATTCTACAAACAATTAAAAACTAAATTTTTTGCATCACATATTATTTTATTAGATTCTCTATAGGCTTATCTATAACTTTGCAATTTTTCAAGTTTTTACATTTAAACATTTTCTATAACAAAACTTTTTATTTTTGATTTTTTCTTGCACATTTTGATTCCATCACCAACTATTTTCTCATTATAAACTTTTTTAATTGATTCTCCAAGCACATACTTTACAACTTTTTTAATAACATTAGCTACTTGTTCTGACATAACACAAGCTTCCTCATAAACAAATTAAATATTGAGATCTTGAATCTTACTGTTAATAATATTTTTATAAGTATTTTTAAATACCTTCATCTAATCCTAGAACAATTTTTTACTTTATTTTTCATATTTCACCCATTTAGATTAATGCCCAAAACTAACAAGCAATATTAGGTACATAAACTTTCATTCAGAATTACTTTACAATCGTTGCATTCTATACGATCTAATTTTCTAATAAGAAAATAATCAATCTGAACTTTACTATATACATTATTATAAGAAATGATATACTCCTATCTTTTCTTAAATAAGATATTAGCAATTACAAAATCATAAGCTAGAGTAAAATCTAATGACATCATGAATCCTAATTCTCCCGTCAACCTCATTAAATATTGTATGAGATCTTAAACTTATTAATATAGGACTAAAATGCTTTTAATGGATGCAATAAGAATTTGCATGATTCCTTGATAAGAGCAAGTATGATTAAAAACTATTAGCAATTTAAAACAATAAAATAAAACGAGAAAGGGGTGCCTACGCTTAGGCTAAACCACTAGCCAGATGCTTGATTTATCAAAACAACATAGAATATCAATAAAATGTGAATTAAGTAGCTTTCAAACAAAACCTCTACGCTAACAATGAGATTAGAAGCATAGAGATCAAACTCAAGTCCTACGATTACTAGGCTTGGCAGAAATAGATGAACAATATCTTCATGAATCAATCAAACCACAAGAACAAGTTAGACAATGAGAATACGAGAAAAGGAAGATTGGTAAACCTTTATCACGGTTGGTTTGTAATCCTCCACTGAACGGTACCAAGTTGCTCCTTTATGGCTTCCACGAGCGTATCTAGAATGCGGTCCACGTATTACTCGACGGTGTTGTCAATATTTGGATTGACGTCGAAGAAAGTCGAGTGAAGGATGTGCACGAAGCCTTGCTCGTCGTAGGCAAGCCCGTAATCAAGATCGGGATCTGCCATGCATCGATCTAGTTGCGTCGAAAATGTTGGAGGAAAAGTCCCCTTGCTGTCCTTGTCGTTTCTCCTTTGAAAAGAGAGAGATTTCTCTCAAGAATTCATGTAGGAGAAGGCAAGGGAGGTTAGCCGGTCAAGGGGGAGTGGACTCATGTGAGGAAGAATTAAGTTTAGGCTTTGGAAGAGAGAAGAGCATAAAATCTGAAATCAATTTCAGATTTTATCATGGAGAGATTTTGAAATTTGAAAACAATTCCAAAAGAGGAGAGAGGAGGGGGCGGCGGCAAGGATGAGAGAGGGCTTTAATTTATTTCCAATAGGAGATATTCCTCTTTGGAAATAAATTAATTATGTGGATTTAGGAAATTTCGGCCAAACGAGGTGGTTTTGAAATTAGGAATTGTTTCCAAAAGGAGTTTAGGAGATTTAGGAAATAAATCCCTTGGAAATCAATAAGGGGGCCGGCGGCTTTAATGCGGTGGAGCTGGAGTTATGGCAAGTTAATATGTCTTGATTAATAAAGGGATATTAAATTAGGTAAGGGGAAATTAAATCTCCTTTAATCAAGTATTGATTTGAGTATGAGGTTTAAAACTTCCTAAAATAGATTTAATATTTTAGGAAAGATTTTGAATTTCAAATCACTTGGATTTGAATTCAAAATTAATCCTAATTTTATTAAATATATATTAGGAAATAAGGAGAAAAAGGGGGGAAACCCAAAGGAGGCCGGCAGATTTGGTGTGCAAGGGTGGCTGGTGGTTGTGGTGGTGGTGTGGCATCAACATATAAGAGGAGGGGGCCAGTGAGGGGTGGGCAGGCGATTCTAGATCTCGGGTGGAGCTTGGACCGTGGGTCGGGAAGGGGAAATAGAGCCGGTGGTGGTGATGGGAGGAAGGGAAAGAGATAGAAATTAAAACTACAAATCCAACTCTTCTAGGTTGGTGGGTGATGCGCAATTCTCCCTCTCCTAGGGATCTCACTCTGATCTCTCTCAAATTCTCATAAGAACTCAAAACATGTGAAAAATTTTTATCATTCAAGCATTAACATGAAAAGAGAACAATATGGCAATATATAGCATCGTGCAAAGACTCGAGTAAATAAAAGACGACAACGCCCACTAGGCTTACATACGACCTCCCTTAAGGGGAAAAAATGGAAACACTAATAAAGCAAATACAACATGACATAATTATAAAGAAAATAAATAATAAAACTCAGAAATGCATTGACTTAATCGTGGTCGTAGATCCACGGCCACATCTCTGATAGACTTTCTACACTCTAATGTCCCCATCCCCTATTTTATGATAATTACTTTCACAATTTCTATCCAAGTTATTTTAAGCCTATCCATTCTCTTCTTATAATCCATTGAAATTAGTTTTATTTACCATTCTACTTTGGTGCATCTTCAACGCTGTTGTGCATGCCCTTACCATCTAAGTCTATTTTTTACACCTTATATTCAATGGACGTTACTCCCACCACCCCATTAATAAAATCATTTCTCAACCTATCATTCCTATCAATGACTTCTTTCTCAACCTATCATTTCTATCAATGACTTCTTCCTTGTCCAGCACTAAAATTCGAACAATATAATCATTAATTCAACACAAAACATAGTTAACTAATTCATTTTCTAATTTTAATAATCCGGCCCAGATATATTATCATCTATGTCCCAATTCATTTTTATGATAAATCTGTGATACTTAGCCTACAAACTTAGGTATTACTTTCAAAATTGAATGTTAAAACTATAGTCATAATCCAAGTTTTAAAAAAGCATAAGAAATAACCACAATATAATGTCCACGTGTAATTAACTTAATATAAATAAGCTATCACTAACATAAAAAAAAATAAAAATAAAAAAATAAAAAAGCTACCACAAACATATTCACCTCAACAATTTCATTTTTCAACTCAATATCTAAATTACCACAACTTGATTCCATTTTGAACGCACCCAACACATATTGGAATATAACCTTCCCCATTGTCCTTGGAGTTTTTTTAGTATTTTTATCTAATTTCTTAATATTGATTCTTCTTGTAGTCATCCATCTGTTAGTAGGATATTATTATTACTTTTGGTTGGTTTCCATATTAATAGTAATTATAGAAATTAGAAAACTATCTCATAGAAAAATATACATATATATCAAGTGAAAAAAAGAAGGGTAGTTTTTAATTTATGATATCCAATATATATATATATATATATATATATATACAGTTCTCTGGTCTGGGAAGAGTTTTCTCTGTTCTTTCGTTTTCTTTGCTTTTCTTTAGTTTCAGGTTATTCTGTCGGAGATCTTGTGCTACTGTCGATCCTTGGGTTGCATTAGGCTGGTATCAGAAACAAAGCAGCAGAATGACAGACAAAGGCAAGGAACCAACTATAGAGGATACTCGGAGCCGTGAAACACTGTGGGCAAACTAGAACAACGTTAATCGTCGAATCGACGAGCTCGCTGTCGATGTGCAGCAACTGACGGTAGAATTCGCCATGAGTTCAATCTCAACCGCGCAAGGACTCCACCCCATCAGCTTCATTGCAAGCAGAAACCGGCTCTGGCTACAGGTGTTCGGCGAGGCGTGGGCCTTGACCAGCATTGGCGTCTAAACCCCGATCTCAATCAACTGTCTGATTCTGAAGACGATTCTCAAATGCCACAGGAATTGAATTTGATAGACTCCGAGGAAGACGTTGAAGGCTTTGAACACTATGCGGGCACCCACAAGCACCGACGGCATCAACATCCTCCGCCTCCCGCAGGCATGAGTCGTTGTGCACCTCCAATAAGCTCGACCCTAATTCCGCTATCGCACAACTTACCGCTTCCGCATTCGCCCCCCTGCGTGACTTCCGCGCGACATCGCTTCCGCATTCGCAAAGGGTTCCGAAATAAACTGTTTGTGGTTAACAACTACCCTATGCTCGAACTCCCTCTCCGATGGCGTGATGCAAGCAAAAATTTGGGAAGGGCCCCAAAAATTTTTGGGGGCAAAAGCTAAACTTCCTAGGATAAAAGAAATTACATTAAATTCTTAAAAAGACAAAATACGACAATTGAACAAAAAACAACAACTTCACTTAATAATATAAAAGACTTACAAACTTCTGACATAAAAAACCTTAGCTTGCATTCCATTTGTTGAAAAGAAGGATATAGGTGGGGTGGTCACTTGCGTAGAGAAGAAGAGGTTAGAAGCCAAGACGAAACATAGCTCGCAAGCTATAGAGAGGAGGGATGGAACAAGCTCGCAAGCTTTTCCAACAAATAAACCCGCAGGTATAGGCTCAAAAAATCACTTACATAGCATCCTCTTTTCTAACATAAAACATCACATATTTATAGGCCAAAAGAGGGCAGCCAAATAGCCCCTAAAATCTTATTTAAAACCTAATAAATAAGGAAAAATAGAAGGACAAAAGACAACCAAGACAGCAACTGAACATCCTCTCAAATATCAGCCAAATTCATCCAAAACCAATGCATCAAGGGGGCTGCACCTGCAGGAACCGAGGAGGCCAAGGAAAAGGGGGCGGAACCCCAGCTAGGAACCACCGGAAAGCAACTAGAGAGGGATCCGAGGAGCCAACACGGGAAACGGGGCAGCAACAGCCAGGTGAAAACCGATAAGACAAAGGGGAAGGGGAAGAGTTAGCTCCACAACACTTAATGAGTTACTTTATTTTCTTTAATAAATAAGCAAAATACCAGCTCATAATGAGCTAACCAACTCAAAATTTAATGAGCTAGCACCAAGTTGATAGGCTCAAAACTATAACAGCCAAAGCCTACCCGAGAGCAGCAAAAGGCCCCAAACCAAGAGCAGCAAAGGTTCATAACAGAGAGCAGCCAAGGCCAAAATTTAGGATTTGTTTTGACCCCCTCCCCCCTTGCCTACATCAATTCTTTCCCACTTAAAAAAGCTCATCTCCTGATGAGGAAGCTTTCGATTTTTCCCAAGGAGACGAAGTAGGCGCTTCAAGCTCTTGAATTTTTATAGCATACTTTTTCAGGATTTCATCTCGCTCTTGCTTGAACTGTTCTTGCAGACGCTTCCTTTTCTTCAAATAATTTTTCGTACTCATATACAACCACGACTGAAGTTTGTATAACTCATTCTACAGGGGATCAGTCGAATCACCTTCTGTCGGAACCCCATTATCCATTGGAATTTGGACTTCACAATCTTCTGGTTGATTTTCTTCCACCATTGGTTCAATATTTTTGTGATTTTCCATTTTTTTAACTCATTAAAAAAAGACACGAAAAAAGACCTAGGAAGACACAAACCTAAGCTCTGATACCAATTTGATGCAAACAAAAATTTGGGAAGGGCCCCAAATTTTTGCGAGCAAAAGCTAAACTTCCTAGATAAAAGAAATTACATGAAATTCTTAAAAATACACAAAATACGATAATTGAACCAAAAACAACAACTTCACTTTATAATATAAAAGACTTACAAACTTTTGACAAAAAAAATCTAAACTTGCATTCCATTTGTTGAGAAGAAGGATACAGGTGGGGTGGTCACTTGTGTAGAGAAGAAGAGGTTAGAAGCCAAGACGAAACATAGCTCGCAAGCCATAGAGAGGAGAAGAAGGGATCGAACAAGCTCGCAAGCTTTTCCAACAAATAAAACCGCGGGTTTAGGCTCCAAAATTCACTTACATAGCATCCTCTTTTCTAACATAAAACACCACATATTTATAGGCCAAAAGAGGGCAGCCAAACAGGCTCTAAAATCTTATTTAAAACCTAATAAATAAGGGGAAATAGAAGGCCAAAAGACAACCAGGACAGCAGCTTAACATCCTCTCAAATATCAGCCAAATTCATCCCAAACCAAGGCATCAAGGGGGCTGCACCTGCAGGAACCGAGGAGGCCAAGGAAAAGGGGGCGGAACCCCAGCCAGGAACCACGGGAAAGCAACTAGAGAGGGATCCGAGGAGCCAACACAGGAAACGGGGCAGCAACAGCCAGGGGAAAACCGATAAGACAAAGGGGAAGGGGAAGAGCCAACTCCACAGCACTTAATGAGTTACCTTTTTTTCTTTAATAAATGAGCAAAATACCAGCTCATAATGAGCTAACCAACAACTCAAAATTTAATGAGCTAGCACCAAGTTGATAGGCTCAAAACTATAGCAACCAAAGCCTACCCGAGAGCAGCAAAAGGCCCCAAACCAAGAGCAGCAAAGCTCCAAACAGAGAGCAGCCAAGGCCAAAATTTAGGATTTGTTTTGACCCCCCCCTGCTTACATCATGGCGCGACCCCCCTCCGCTTCAATATCTGGAACCTCCATTTTATTCTATTATCACCACTGCCGAAGAGATCATTCCCGGGACTGAGGCTGAAGCAAATTCAGGAATTGAACAGAGTCAAGTTTATGAGACTCTAAATACATGTATGAGCTACAGCCGATGAGATGAGAGGAGATGGAGGAGAAGGTGCTGAGGTAGTTGGTGATGATTTGGGTGTGATCAACATTGAGTTGGTTGAGGATCCAGTTGTGCCCAAAACCGAAGTTGAATTGAACAATCAAAAAGAACAGAGCCGAGGTGGAGAAGAGATTGAGGTGTTACCAAAGCTCGATAGCAATCATATTGCTTCGGCGATGAGGTTGGAGGAGCATGATTTTTTCAAGAAGCAAGTTTCCAATCTCCGTATTTGGTCCGAGGAAACCAAGGAACAAGATGTTTTTATAATTGAAAGTGGTGATGGTGATGTTTATATTGCAGGCGTGCAAAGGTCCGGTCATGATTCTACTGTCAAAGCCGATCCAGTGCAATACTCTCAAACTGATGCTATCGAGCTTTGGGTGTGATCAAAATGTCATTTAAGGATTGAATCACAAATTTGTTGGTCCAGGTGATGAGCTTGTTGGTACTCCAGTTATTTCATTAATACAAACCAACATAGCAAATGAAGATACATATGTAAAATCCGATAATCATCATGAAATATCCAGAGATACCCTTCCATTGAGTTGCAGCAGTATGTCGAAGGACCTCAAGGAGATGTTAACTTCTCAAACACAAATAATCCGCTACCTTCTCAAAGTAGTCAATATGATTGTCAAGTTCTCCTGATGCGAAGCATTTTAGCACAAAAGAATATGACCAAAGCCTTTAATGGGGAAGGCCATGATTTACAGTTTAACAAGGCTAGAACATTATCTAATGCAACCTCTTGAGAGGAAGTTAATGGAAATGAAGTTGATGGTTACCAAAGGGCATTAAAAATTATTGCTACTGTACCAAGTAGCATCTCATGTCAACATGAGTTGGAATTTCGTGAACCTCTTCTAGATGAATTAAATTCCAACCAAAAAGTTGCTAACGCTCAGAACAAAGCAAATTCTCAGATATTAAATTGTAAGGTACTCTAGTTTTGTTCAACGCAGCTTCACAAAATGACATTTCTCTCAATGAAAAGATGAATGGCCCCTCCCTCTTAAAACTAGCATCATTGGACCTCTCTAATATTGGAGGAAATGGTTTAAGGAATTATAATAGCTTTTCTAGATGGATAAGTAAAGAACTTGGAAAGGTAGATGATCCGCATATGAAATCTAGTTCTCAGTCCAATTGGAACTTCATTGAAAGTGGGCGTATTGATGAATATGGACTTGGAAATGGGGAAAGCTTGGTTGAGGTTACCACCGTTGTCATCAACATTCTTGGCATGCTGCCTTGTGAAGGAACTGAAGTCGTCCCTAATAATGCAAGATCGCACACCTGTATGCTCTCTGGTTTATTCATCGGCAATGAAAAAGTACTTGTTAGATTATCATTCGGGATTGATGGACCCAAACAAGTTGCCATGAAACTTGCTGTCAGATCTGAAGACGAAGTAATTAGTGACGCTATAGTCTATACATGGAAGTACGGCAGTCAGTGATGTGGAGATTGACAATCTGGAACCCAAGCTTGCTTTGAGGGATGTTAATGCCTTGCCATCTCCTTTTGATGCCTTACCAGTTTCTTTTGATGGAGATACATGGAAGAATCTTTTATCTGCATTCAAAATCTTCGATCCAGGAGGATTGATTTCGATATCTACCATCTCCCGATGATGAGCCTCGTCGGAGTCGAGCTCTTCTTCTAACGGGGAAGACTGATGCAACGCATAAAGAGACCAATCCCGTATTCCGTTACTTACTCAGTATTTCTGTTATTTGCTCAGCCTCCACTCTCTCCATACTATTTCTGTTAGTAGGATATTATTATTACTTTTGGTTGGTTTCCATATTAATAGTAATTATAGAAAACTATCTCATAGGAAAATATACATATACATCAAAAAATTGCCAAATATCATTTCAAAAATCTGATTTTAATTTTAAACATGGTCAAGTCTTTCCTATTTTTCACCTATATTACGGTGTGTCACTTACAGGTAATGTCTTACCCAATATTAGCCCACTTTCACTACAATTCAGTAATTTCGGGCACATCACTACCAAATGGAAACCTAGCAAACACTTGTCTACTTCTCACAACAATCAGATTATGTTATTCTAGTAATAGAAATTTCAAAGACAATAATAAAAGTAATACATTCTCTACCTCAAAAACAATTCCATTGCACCAAAAATTCATATGAAAACCAAAGATGACCAAGGCTGCAATTATAGAAAGAAACTGGTTTGCACGTCTCTTGATTTATGTTTTCAAGAACCCAATTGTTGCAAATAGAGCAAGGCCAAAGGCTGTGAGCTAAAATTACAAATGAGATTCATGTCTTGAGTTATAAGTATAATAACTAACACTGTATGAGAGCAAGTATGGAACAATGATGAGGTTTCCACCATTGCTATGCGAATCGTGAAAGTTATCGAAGGTAAAACTAGGAGCATCAAACATCCGCAAAAACTATCAAAAGTCTCATGCACATAAGTGAAAGTGCCCCATTTATGTCAGTTAAACAGATGATAGATCTGAACAATTATACTCACAGCAAGAAAATAAAAAATTCAACCAAATTAAAACCAACATATGAAATACCCCCCTGATGCATGGAAATTTCAGTTTATTTTAGTTTTTATTGTAATTTGAATGCTATCTTTTTTTTTTTTTTAATACGACCCTATGATGGAAAGCATACAATGATCATGAGTAGGTAGTGCTTGGGCTTGGCAAACTTTGGGTGTGCTAGCTATTTGGGTTCCTTGGTTCTTGGGCTGCTGGTTGCTCTCGGGTTGGGTTTGGCTACTCGGTTTTTGGCTGTATGTTTTTGAGCTACTATGTGTCATCTCATTAATGTTTGAGCTAATGTTTTTCAGCTCATTATGATGGAAAGTTCTCCTCCTTTTTAGCTCATTATGTGGAGTGTCTCTTGCCCTTTCCCCTTCCCGTTTCCCCTGGCCGTCCGTTCCTTTCCCCTTGGTTGTTTTTTTTTATTTTCTGTATGGTTGTTCAGTTGCTGTTTATGGACTGAATATTGGCCTTCCATTTCCCCTTACCTGATTGGTTCGGTTGGAGGTGTTTTGGCTGTTTGGCTGACCCCTTTTCTCCTATAAATTTGAGGTGTTTTGAAGCATAAAAAGTTGTTGAATATTTCAGCAAAGTCTCTTAAAAAACCTGAGGGTTTCTTCTTTCTTAGAAAAGCTTGAGAGCTTGTTCAATTTCTCTCTTCCTCCCAACTATTTCGTCTTGGGCTTCTAACCTCTTTCTTCTCTCCGCAAGTTCCACTCCACTTGTATCTTTCTTCTTCAGCTATTGGAGGTGTTTGTTGGCTGGTTTGGTAGCATTTGCCGGAGGAGTTTTGGTGGATGTTGAACCTTGTAGCTTTGATGGACCCTTGGTTTGCAAGCCCTTAAGCATTTCTTTTACATTGCCTACTTTTTCGTTGCATGTGAGAAAACCGCTTGCCGGTTGTTCTGAGGGTGGTTGTTATTTAATTTTAATTTTGTTTCGTTTGTTTGGCTTTCGTTTGTTCTTAAAGTTTGTTTGGATGTTGGTATCATAAGTGTTGAATCGAGTCATGTTCTACTAGTCTTGGTGTTCTCCTCTCTTGACTCTTTCTAATCTAGTTGCCCGCATCACCCCCCCCCCCAAAAAAAAAAAAAATAAATAAATAAATAACATACAAATATATTCTTTTATAAGAAAAAAACAAAAGGGTTTAACCAACTGAAAACTATAGAAAACACAAGGATATTATAACTTTCAAACTATACGTATCACAAGTAGATTTAAGTTCAAATTGCTAACCTTTTGACGTCTGGATCTACTTTCATGGTCCAATTTAGATCTAGGACCCTTCGAGGCCATGGTTTCTTCCTCAAAAGTACCTACATTATGACATAGTATGTCTATAACAGAATAACTGGCACCAATATAAAATTACATACTCATAGAACTATTTCTAAAAACAAAGGAAATTTTACATAGATTCATCACCTTTTACGACAATTGCAACTTAAACCATCATTCACAAGACCCCAAAAAATATCATAATTTATTTACAAAAACAATGCAATTACTTCCACATATGCAAACGTGAAATATGAGTTCAAATGCCTAAAATATCATGCAGCTGCTTGTATCAACAATCTTACCCTAGCTAGTCTCATTTGTGACAGATAACAGCTCAATGGAATGCAGGGGTGACAAGGCAGCAGCTTTCATGGAAATTGTGTCAATTGAAATTCAAGGGTGACACAAGAAATTTTCATCCTATAAATGGAAAATAAAATAAAATATAAATATAGAAATACTTGCCTGTTAGTGGAAAAAAGGTGGAGCTTATATTAGTTGGTTTCATAATATGATAAACTGTTTTTTGAACCTTATGAAAATTTTGAATCTAATTGGGGTGTGCATGACCGATATGAAGGGCAAAAACACTTATGAAACAAGAAACGTTAAAATACAATAAAACAAAATGAATACCTTGAAATGTTTAGCAAACGGCTTTAGCATCGCATGTCAATCAGAATACCAGAATGTTTCACTACAGGAAGAAAATTCATAAATTAAAAAAATAATTAAAAATCAAGCGACTGAAAATAAACACCTGCAAAAAATGTAAAGAAAAAACAGCCAGTTCAATAAATGAAAAGATCAGCATTTTAAAGTTTAGCACATAACATAAATTTGTTAGGGTAAGTTTGTTTGCAAGAACTTAGAATCCATATATTTTAACAATGTAGTCTAAAGTAAATACGGTGGATTTTAATTCCTTAAGATTGATTGGTTGTAAAATAAATGCATAGAGATCATTTGCTTTGTTTGGTTTATTGTGAAATAAATATATTTTTTAATTTAATTAATAATTTAAAATGCAATATCCTTTTATAAGTACCATGCTAATATAAATTAACTAAGATAACAGGATAGTTGATCCCAATTAGTTCCTCTGTAATGGCAATTCCTCCATCAACATCAGTAGTTGGAGAAGATACAGGACAAGAAAATCAACTTCCCTCATCAATCACCCATACAAAAAAAAAGATTCACTAATATTACAAAAAACAATATAAATAAAAAATATGAAATAATCTGATAAATAAGAAAAGCACACATATAACCCCTTTAAACTATGCCAATTCTTATGTTTGATTTTAACACTACTTAATCTTGATGACCGCTCTTGTGAAATAATCATAGAAATGGTCAGTATTAAATGTTCCTATGAAATTTGAAACTGTTGTTTGAATTTTCATGTTTATTATATTTATGAAGTTATTTTTTGACCATATGAGGTGAATGTTTTCTTAAGGTAGGCAATCAATTGGGATATTGCAAAAAGTGCCTTAAAAGATGAATGTTTTTTTCCCAAATAATGAATTTTCTAAATTGGGTACTTTTAAACATGCTTTACACAGACATGCATTTGGCTGAATGCAAAAAATGTGATTATTTTTAAACGTTTATTTGAAACTTATTTGTGTTTTGGTTGGGGACCTTTATAATAAATTAAAGGGCTTTTAGGTTCCACAAATTTGTATTATAAATTATAGCAAATGCAGGAGTTTAAATTTTCAAAGGAGCTCTGGAACAATCCAAATTTGCCATCAACGCCTTGATACAATACTTTGCCCGTGAATTTTCCCAACGCGAAAAACTAAACACGCAGCATAGATCTCAAATCACAACAACGAGCCATCATTAATCCAGACCAATTCCAACAAAAAACATTGACAAACAAAACCAAATTTTTTATATTGAAATAGGAAAGGAAAAGCACAAAAGAGAGAACAAAAAAAAACTGAAATGAAAAGCCAGGAATATGAGAAAGAAAAAGGAAGACAAGCTCATACCTTGTTCATAAAGATCTCCACTTTAGCTGTTGCAGAACAGCTCATCTTTCACGGTTTCACCTCCAAACATCCACAGAGCAAAAGGGTGAGAGGAGCGAGTGAAAGAATATGGGCTTCGAACAAAGAAAATAAGTTTCGTTTAGCATTATTTCAACATTTGACGGAGGCGAGAAGGAAAACGGCATCGCGGTAGAGGAGGAGGTAAAAGATCGTTACCTTCTTTGTCGAATGGCGAATAAGGCGAAGAATTGTCGCTTCGAGCTCCTGTTCTGAGGTCTGATCTGACAGAGACAACCGGTAAACCAGTCCGTAGGGAGATCCGAAGCGCGAAGCTTTTAGGGCAAGAACAAAGCAGGGTCAAGTGAAAGAAATTTTCCTCAAATTTGTTAAATAAGTTATTTTTTTATAAAAAAAGGAAAGAAAATTTCTTTTCAATTTGATTTTTATAGAAATTATGATTGGAATAAAGATTACATGATATATAAATTAAAATATATATTAAATTGATTAATAGAAGTTATTTCATTTTTTTATTCTTTAAATAAACAAAATGTGTTCCTATTTTTAAAATAATTTTTTTTATTATTTTAAAAGTTTGTTGGAAAACTTTTCTCGCACTACAGCTTGTAAATGCCTATACAGATATAAATTTTCTTAAACAAAATTTTTATTTTTACTGCTCCGTCCCTTCTTCTACGCGAACTTTTATTAGGTTCGGTGCAAGGACGTAGAGGAACGTCCGGTCGGAGACAATTTTCCGTCCAAAAACTAGGTATTTGCTCGGTACAACTAGGTATTATTTGATAATAATGAAGAATACCGCCTTCCGTATGGCACTTTGTAACACTATCTATACTATTGATATTGCAACTCTTTGTATTCTCATTCCACTATGCCTATTCCTTCCCTTCTCATTCCACTTCAAACTCGACGGTCCTCCCTCTCGTGTTCTCTGCACTCCACGAGGGCTTCGCCTTTTTCGTTCTTTTTTGACTACATTCGTCTTCTTCGGTCACGAGAGCTTTGCCTTAATATATGTAGTTGCACCTCTCTCTCTCTCTCTATGTGTGTAAATATTATAAAGAAATAAAATTTGGTATATTCCATTTTAGCTGTTGTTATTCGACTTCTTTGTTGCTTGACAAAGGGAGAAATTTGCTTTCTTGAATGTTGTTGAAATTTCTCAAACTTTTTTTTTTATTATAGAGAAACAAAATTTGATTATTTTCATTTATTTGTTGTTATTCGACTTCTTTGCTTATTCATCACCATGTCTCTTTTCCCAGTGCTAAGCACTAAAGATGACTTTGGCCTAGTTTTTGAAGCATCACAATGAATCATCCAGTGATATAAGTTGATGAGTTTTCCTATTGCTTGGGGCAGCATATCTATGTGCGATGATCGGAGTATAATGTTAGTAACTTGTAAAGGCTACATAATGAGTTCTCAGTTTTTACATTAAGAGGTTTGTAGTGCAAACTTATTTCTTGAGCTAAATTTTGAAATAATTAATAATGAAATCATAAAACTCACACAAATATTAGTGGAAGGCTGCTATAGTTGTGTTGTGATGCGATCAATCTAGGGCATTGGAAGTTATTGCATTTGAATCCTTTGAAGACTTGGTTAGAGGGTCATTCTTTCAACTCTCGAATGACAACAGTTTCACTTTGCATGATATGGTACATGAGTTGGTTCAATTTATAATTGAACATGAAATATATTCCTCGTAAGACTTGGTTGAATTGAAGAACATCCCAAAAGATGCTGAGCAAATTTTCATGAGACACACAAATGATAATAAATTGTTTTTCTCTAATAAATATTTTTATTTATATTTATCATCAATATTTCTTAACTAAAGGTTTTGGTTCTTTCTTTATGTTATTAATATTAATTAGAAGTTTTTTTCTTCGAATTTTAGGCATTTTTAAAAGTTTATGTATTCCATAAAATCTTCTATCATTGTAGAACATTATTTTGAATATCATTTTTTTTTTTTTGCTTCGAATTTATTTTGTTGTGGTCGATTTTGGATATTCAATATGTTGTTATATGGTGTGGTGATCAGGTGGTTAGCTATGATTGTAATCAAGTAAATCTTTGATCATAAAATTTACTATGCAAATGCTCTTTTTGGCTCAACTTATAAACAATTTTAATTGTAGATCATGGTACATAGGTGTGCAACTATTTGGAATGGATGTATTATTTCAATATATTAGTAGTCATTGGTTTTCGAATAGATGATCGGATGTTCTATAATGAAATTATGGCATAATTTGTGGTAATTAAGATAATGAAGGTTCTTCTTGTAGTATAATAATTTTAACTAATTTTGTATTCTTCTTACAACTATTTTAAATTAGTTGGGTCATTTGAAGCATATCGTATTATAAGATTTAAAGTGGTCATTTATTTTGTGATATTACACTTACCTGATTTATTTTTCATCCCGTGATCCACCTTTTATGTCATATGGCTTTTGTATTATTGTTAAATAGCTTTTGAAATATATACATGAATGAAATGAAGATGTAATTTATTTCCTCTAGAACTAGAGTTTGGAGTGGAATTTATTTTTCATTGGTTTAAGTTTTATAAAAGCATTTGTTCTCTTGCTGCTATGTTTTAAAATTATGTTCATTTCTATCAAGTTTTTACTTAATTTTTTTGTTGAAGTACATAGGTTGAAATTGTCGGATCACTTGTTGAATTTTTATGTTATTCAAATCATTAAGAGAATTCTTATTGATATTTCTGCTTATTGTTGAAAGATCAACATGAAAATTTTAACATTTAACTTTTTTTTTTTCTGCATCTGTCATTGTTAATCTTAATATGGTTACATCTTTCTTCTTTGTATGGTTATGTCAATATTCTAAGTTGGGTCAACTATTGCTAATGATCATTAAAATGGTTAGCCACTTATGATTGCTGTCATTAATGTAGTGCTAATCTTTAGCAACTTCATTTCATAGAGATTTTTTTGTAATAGGGATGAGTGGAGCTAATGTAAGAATACCAAAAGATTGAATTGGGTTTATTGATTAGCCTTTGGTATAGTGATTAAGCATAGTATAATAATATAGCTTAGTATTAGGAAAGCCACCTAACTTACGCAAAATTGTTATTTGGGAGCAAATACGTTGAGTCACAAATTTCATAGAAAGATACCATGCATAGAGAATGCCAAGATTTATATAGTTAGGCAAATAATTGCCTACATTCACAAGAAATGCGAGATGATCCAACCCAATAAACAAGAAATGACAAATGAAGAAATACTTAAGGGTGCAATCATACAAATTTTTGGAGTTTGAACTCTCATTTCAAGACTTTCTAGTTTTTCAAATGATCAACAAAGTTTATGCCTTTAATGTTCAAGGCATACTATTTTCTTAACTTATATATACCAAAAGACAATGCTATCTTTTATTGATGAAGGGATTCAGTAAATGGCCTTATTAAACCTTAGATATAAATTTGTTTGAGAATCCATACAATTGTCCAATTCAAATGTTATTCTTTTTCTCTTTTTTTTTTTTTCATCTGATACTTCAAAGTAGTATTGCTTGGCAGTCATTGTAGGGAGGTAGCTAATTGAAAGCATTATAAATGGAATATATATTGAGGTGTGAATTATTTAGTGTACGTCTACAAATTATTGAATTATAGTGAAACAATTAATTTTTTCCAGTCACTTTCCTAAAAAACTTCTTATGTAAGATGTTTGTTGGTTGGGATATGATAAACAAATCAGAGTGTTTAATAGCCATAATCCTGGTCGGGATTTAGAGCAATGTTCTTTGATTAAATCAAATGCTTGATCATTGGGTACTTATCTATACCCTTGTATGCCATAGTTTTTTTTTTTTTTTTCTTTTTTATTTAAGCATTCATATTTTTTATGCATATGTATGCATTAATATGGTGAGGTAGTTAATAACCATTGAATTTTGAAGCTTTGCTATGTCAGATTTCATTTGAATGTTTTGGTTTTGATTGTATTTGTGTAAGTTCTGTTAACTTCATGACACTTATAAAGCATAGAATGTCATGGTTGAAATAATTCTAGCATTTTTATTCTCTTAGGACACCTATGGTGCCAAATATGAAAGATATCCCATTTTTATGCTTCTAATTTTTTGAAGTTGAGATATATGATCATAACTCCATAATTTTTGCTATGATGTAGTACATTAGTTATGAATATTTTCATAATTTTGTCAATGAAATTGTTACCCAATTCAAATGTTATTCATTATTTGCATTTTATGCTTCAAAGTAGTATTATTTGGTGGTCATTGTGGGATGTTGTTATCTTAATTCAATTTACATTAAATTTGTCAGATTAATACTAATTGTTAGTCTTTCTCATTGTGGCAATCACTGTTGCTTGCATGATAAATTTATGCTCTTATAGGTAATGCTCTATGATTGGTTTTTTTTTAAGTACTAATTAATTTAGTCATATGATGGATGCTATGTTGATGTTAACAAATCAATTAATTATAAACCCCTTATGTTACACATAAGTTTCTTTTAAAAAATTTTCATTTGATTTTAATGGAGTGTATTTCAAGAATATTAGAGGTTAATATGCCTATATTGATATACAATTTAATATCATTGTTATAATTGTCATAAATTATTTATTAATTATTATTATTTATTATTTATTTTTTTAATTTTATTCACGTGCACAAAATATTATTAAATCAAAATAATATTTGGATAATGTTTTATCATGTATATTTACATAATAGTATTAATATGCTTTTAATAGTATAAAAAATGTCTATCTTTAAATAGATTACAATTACAAAATATTAAACTACTGTATTTCCTCTTCTCTATTTCTTCGTTATTGTTCGAATATGCCTACTTTGTTTGCTACGAAGGTAACGATCTTTCACCCCTTTCTCACTTTGCTTGCTACAAATATAACAATATTTTGCCCATTTCTCTATTAATTGTTGTTTCACATACTATCATATGTTCTTAACATGGTTCAATGTTATAATGGTCTTATTATTTTATTAGTAGTGTAGGTCAAACTATTTTCTTTTTGATTTTTTTTTTTTTCACTTTTGTTGTAGTCGATTGAGTTTGCCATTACTATTTGATCTATTTAAATTGTGTAATAAAATTTCATGTATCAATTAATTATCTTAGTTATGCTTATATGATATTTTTTTCCACTAAGTATATGCTTGGTTTATTTTTTTTATTTTTTCATTTATATTTTTAATTTAGCTTGGGGTGAATAATTGGATTATATTCACCATATCTTTCTTCGAGCAAAATTTATATTCTTTTGGAAATGAGCATGTAAGCAATGCATATGACTATATATAAAACT